TGGGTGGCATCACACCTGGCTCACAATTATTATATTTTTATTTCTTTGATCAACATTTGCAACAACTTTAGGAGAAACTTTGGCAGTTGATGCAACTCTTCAGCCTCACAGTTTCTTAATTGTCCTCCATGGGTCTTCACTCACATGCACAACTGCCACTCCCCACACCCTGGGTGCCAGGCAGCCTTCCTCTCCCTTAACCTGAGGCCCCTCATTTCTGATCACAGCCTCCACGCTACCACTCCCCATCAACTCCAGGCACCAAGCCCACTGGTCACTCCATTCATCACATTCATTTGGGTATACCCCAGTTTGGATAAGTTTAGTCACTTAAATGCAGCCTCGATCCTAGCATCAACCATCTCAAAGCCTCTCTGTACCATCTAAACAAAACCCCACAACCTCCAAGGTTTTACCCATTCTTTCCCATCCCCCTCTTCCAGTCCAATCCAAGCAGAGCATTTATAGGATTCGGCTCACTAGAACGTTGGTCCTTTCACCCACCTTGCTATGAAACCTATTTTCTATGGGATAAAATTCATATAGCAGCCTCTGGATCTCTAGATCTTGGCCTGATTCTCCAGATTTAGTGTTCAATACTTAACCACAGGAAATCCCTCCCCAGCAACTTTCTTTCCCCTTGTTCTCAGGATGTGACATACAATGTCAGTCCATCCAAAGCCTTCACAACCTCAGGGGCCACTTTGTTCCCTCTTCCCTGAGTCCTCTCCTGCCATCAAGCCTTCTCTCCCATCTCCAGGGCTACACATTCTCAGAGCCCTCCTCTGAGCTCTCAATCACTGCCTTCCTCTCACTGAGTGGCACTGAATGTCTGCACTTTAGACAATAACCCCTGCATGGCAGGACTTGTTAGGCATTGAGTGTATTTTTCCAGCATCCCCCGCCCCCTCCAGTCACATACACAGAAACAATGTTTATTGAATAAAGTTCTTTCTGAACTCTAAACATAATCCCTCCTGCAACAAACATAGCCTTCTCCTCTGGCTCTATATTTAGTAGGTGCAGGGTGGCTCTTCTGCAACCTCTTTGAAATAACTTTACACAGTCTGGAGGGTGGGGGTGTGCTTATAAGTGTTCAACTACCAGCTCTCCAGGAAGGAAGGAAGAAGGGAGGGAGGCAGGGAGGAAAGGAAGGGAGGGAGGGAGGGAGGAAGGAAAGAAGGAAGGAAGGGAGGGAGGAAGGAAAGAAGGAAGGGAGGGAGGAAGGAAGGAAGGAAGGAACGAAGGAAGGAAGGAAGGAAGGGGCTCATGATTTGTGGCATTTGCCAATTCCCATAGTGTAAACACTCCCACTATGATTGATGTCAAGAAGAAACAAAGGAAGAAAGAGAGAAAGAGAAAGAGAAAGAGAAAGAAAGAAAGAGAGAAAGAAAGAAAGAGAGAAAGAGAGAAAGAGAGAAAGAAAGAAAAGAAGGAAGGAAGGAAGGAAAGAAGGGAGGGAGGGATGGAGGGAGGGAGGAAGGAAGGAAGGAAGGGAGGGAGGGGCTCATGATTTGTAGCATTTGCCAATTCCCATAGTGTAAATACTCCCATTATGATTGCTGTCAAGAAGAAAGAAAGGGCTGGGCGTGGTGACTCACGCCTGTAATCCCAGCACTTTGGGAGGCTGAGGCGGGTGGATCACGAGGTCAGGAGATCGAGACCATCCTGGCAAACATGGTGAAACCCCATCTCTACTAAAAATACAAAAAAAAATTAGCCGGGCATGGTGGTGGGCGCCTGTAGTCCCAGTTTCTCAGGAGGCTAAGGCAAGAGAATGGCGTGAACCTGGGAGGCAGTGGAGCTTGCAGGGAGTGGAGATCACGCCACTGCACTCCAGCCTGGGCGACAGAGTGAGACTCCGTCTCAAAAAAAAAAAAAAAAAGAGAAAGAAAGGGAGAGAGAGAGAGAGAAAGAGAAAGAAAGAAAGAGAGAGAAAAAAAGAGAGAAAGAGAGAAAGAAAGAGAAAGAAAGAAGGAAGGAAGGAAGGAAGGAAGGAACAGAGGGACAAATAGAGGGCAGGCTCAGGATTTGTAGCATTTGCCCATTCCCACGGTGTAAATACTTCTACTATGGCGATGTCAAGCTACCAAAATGATGTCTCTGAACATGGGGCTAGAAACAGATGTGCATAATTGGCTCTTGCAAGCTACCGCAGGCTGTCCAGCACAGCATGTCCACTGCTGGGAGGTCATATTCATTATCCTTCTTAAATCATTTAGTTTTCTTCTCTGTCACTATCTCATTCTCTCACATGCCTCATGAAAACTTACTTTTTCTACTAGTGTTTATCCTTGAAGACTCAGGCCAGAGGTCATTCTTTGCAGAGCCTTCCTGACATGCCCACCAGCCCCTCCTAGAACAGCAAGCTGGATGCTGCTCTGTGCTGGCCCCACACTTTGCATAATACATGCCTGTGTGGATGGTGTGGAATAATTAACCGTTACTGGCCTGATTTTTTCCCACTAAATCTGTCAGACCTCTGAGTCTGTTTATTCGCCTCTGGAACTCCACATCCAGCAAATAAGAAGTATTCAGTAAAAGCCTGAGGGAAGAAGAGGAGGGAGAGAGGAAGGAGGGAGGGAGAGAAAAAAATAAAGGAAGAATAAAGAACTTCTGGTTCTTCTTTTCATGTTTTGTTGCCATTTTGCAACCCAAGTTTCGCCCTGCTTCAAGTATTTCAAGTGACTAAGAGAAACATTGCCAGTTACATGGCATAAATCTTACCTTAACATATTCCTTACTTTTGAAACAATTTGACCTCCACGCCAGCTCTTTTAGCACTGAAGAGTCAGCCTCAGTGGGGCAGGGTATGAGGGAAATGAGAATGATGACAGAGGAGAAAAGGACCTGGAAAAAAATTGGTTCCCTGCAGGAGTGTATTCTGTTAAAATTGCATAAAGTTATGCACAGTAAGTTAATATCCACAGGGATTCACTCTGGGATATTCTGAATTACAAGGAGATGGGTCTCTCCTAGAGAGTGGTCAGCAGTAACTGGGAAGAGGTCTTTATGCCATGCTACTGGGCATCATAGAAACTACTAAATGCATAATTTCTCCCCAATACCACGTGAGTCATGGAGAGGACTGAACCTTCTCTGAGCAGAATGCACAAACATGGCAGCACTGGCAAATGCTACACACAAATGGAGGTGAAGGATGGGGCAGAACTATCAATTATCCTTTTACGGGCATCCAGCAGCTGGTGAGCTCACCCCAAATTGTAACTATCCAGGAGGGTCATAAAGTGAGAAGGCTCTTTACTCCTCCTCTGACAAAGGCAGGCGGGGGTGGGGCTGATGTGTGCTCTCTGGGATGAAATACAGTCCAGAACACATCGTTCTAAGCACACGACATAAATAACAACATTAAAGTCACTAACACCATTACCACAAGCCATAACAACAATTAATAACGCAAGCAAACAGAGTGCAGGACTGAAAGCCTGTCCCTCCTAAAACACTCTTTGATGTTTACTGGAGAAATCTGAGCCCTTAAGAGTTATCCAGTTCATCTGGTACCCAGCCTTCCAAGGCATGATCCTTAAATACGTCAGCATCTAAACGAGAAGAGAAAATTATTTGCACAGAAGTGAAAGTCGTGGCTCAGTAACACTCTTAATGTAAAAGTCAATGGGAAATATGTATAAACTCATGTGGATCTGAGTCTGGTGACCCAACTGAAACTCCTGAAGGGTTGGCAGGAGCAGGTGGTGTGTCATTTCCCAGCACCCACCACACATATGCTGAAAGAAGTGTGAGGACAAAGTTATTCAAGAGGGAAACCAGAGCAGGAAGATGGCGGCCTAATGGGGCAGAATCTCAAATGTGACTTCCAATTTCACAGATGGCTTTTTGACCCCTGAGTACATTAAGAGAGCAGTGAACAGAAGGATGGTGACATTCCCCCTAAAGATAATATATGAAGTAGCTGTAAGACTTTGACTAAACATATTTTATTGAGTTAAAATATTACTGAGAGAGGCAATTCTATGGCTTTCCCAATAATGATATGAATAAAGCACTTCTAGATCCAAGAACCTAAAAAAGATGACAGCATATTAGTGAAGAGAGCTTGGACCATGGCTAACAAGAACTGAAGAGGAAGAAAAGAAGAAGAACGTCATAGAAGAAAATAAACAAATTTAACACATCTTTTAAGAAGGTTTATAAGACACAGGAATGAGATTTCTTTTAATGATATTTTGAGATGTTTTATCTGATTTACATTAATAAGGCTAGGTCCGTTACCAAATTGACTCAACTACTAGCCCATTAAAGGAAGATGAAAATTCTAGATCAGTCTTAGGTATGATTTCCTGAGAGCATCTCAGGCAGTGAGTTTCACGCTGGGCTGGGTTTCTATTCCAGTGCAGGAAGGTGGATGAGGGCACATACATTTCTTGAGAATGAAATTTGTCTTATGTTGTTACCAGCTATACCGTAGACTTTTTGTAAAAAAAAAAAAAAAAAAAAAAAAAAAAAAAAGAAGGCTATAGGTTGACTTTATTCTGGAAACAGTGGTCTCTCTTCTACTCATCATGGTCTGTCTTCAAATTCATGTACATAGGAAATGGAGAACTTACAGTATGGCAAGATATCTTGACTTTAAGGCATTGAGATATCATTGTTAGTAAGTGGAATACTAAAAATGTAGATTTCTTTCAAAGCCTTCTCAACTAAGTACCTTCTGTCTCTCTCCTTATCTGCATTTGGTGGTCCATTTCCAGAGTTATTTCTGAATCTACAAAACTGCAGCTGACTTTTCTGCAACAACAGACAAGCCTGGCCACCATGGTCAAGGTCCCCAAAGATCCCAAGTGATGTTTTCTCTCTGTCCTAGATACACACGTAGATAGTTCAGACTCATCTTCTGAGGAGAAAGAAGATAGAAGCTCTCCTCCTAATGGGGTCTTTCATATTGAAAGAGACCATCTAGGTGGTGGAAAGAAGATGTTTGGACACCAGGAGAACAGAAATAAGACAGGGAAGAGCCATACCTGCTCCGATGACCTCTTCAATTTTCACGAAAGATACATCAATCTCCTTGGCGAACTCCCGGACAGCTTCGTTGGGATCCTCATAAGTGAAGGGGTCAATGTAGATCTTCATCCCTGGGGAGCCTTGTTGGAGGAGATAAGCAGGGTTAACATCCCAAAGAGGACACAGCTGTCATTCAGCACTGCTGATGTCCTCAACACTAAGGGCATTCCTGGGAGGAGCTCTCTTACACACCAGGCTGCAACCTTTCTCTGCCTCTCCTCCTCTTGCTGGGTTTCCCCATCTCCCTTCCTTCTGGGTCACTCTAGACTGATTCTCTGTCCTCTACTTCTCCTCCATATTTTCTTCTTTTTTTTTTTGAGCTTTTGATGAAATGTGGAGCAGATTACTTATAAGTGACAGATCAGGACCAGTTTCCACACCGTGCGCTCACAGAAGGCAAGGAAGCTGATTGATGCCAACCAAATGCATTAGCAGAAAAGTGGTGGTAAAATGGTAGGGTAGATATCAATATTTATCAACTTGACAACTTTCCTGAGTGGAGGCCACTATTAAGGTTATAACTGACGGCTGTGGTGTAGGGCTGTAAGAGGGATGAGGATGGATTTTTTTTACAAAGAAAGAAATTGCTGTTAGAAAAACCTGGAGATGGAAGTGCCAAGACGGTATACCAGAAAAGAAAATGTGAAGAGAAAAACTTAGAAAACACTAATAGAGAAAAGAGCAAAGTCTACATAGAAAAAAATGAGGTGGTATGAAAGAAAAATGGTGATTGAATCTTCATGCCTTCGGACACACTGAAGTATGAAAAACAAATAAAATGGTGAATGAGAAATACATAAAGGAATATAGACCTTGTCACTGATATATACAGTGGCAAGATAAATAGGTGTGCATGGGGACAAAGTAGAGAATTGTCACTGCAGAAAAAATACATTCAAAAAGTAGAGGAGAGGGAACAAAAAAAGGAAATGGAACCCAAGAAACAAATGCATTCATTCACAATGTAATTTTTCAACACGTTTGATATGTCATTAGGCAAAGTACAGGAATTGTTTACATGGTGGTGGGTGGTGGAAAGGCTGAGGCTTCGAAGGTCAAATGACATGGTCTGGTATCACGGCCTTGGGAAGAGTAGGGGCTTTCCCTGCCAGGTACTGCTGTCTCATTCAAGAAACAGTCAGGTCAGCAGGGGCAAGCAGGCCTAAAAAAGCCACCCTGCAGGGTGCAGGGACTGGGGCGCAAGGCTGAGGTTAGGCCTCAGGTTTCACGAGCTCCATTTTAGCACCTCCCTCCTCTTCATGTCCCCCACCCCTCACCACTGCAGCTTGTTCCCTGGTGACCCCCAGCTCTAGTTTTGACATTTTCCATCCAAAAATCTTCTGATGGCTCTATAGCTCCCCCAAAACTGGTGTTGCTTGGTCACCAATTCAGGCAAGGAATGGAAATACTAGAGTGTAATCCAAATGAAGACGGAAGATACAGCAAATCATTGAGGGAAATTTTTATTTTTATTTTTATTTATTTATTTATTTATTTTTTGAGACAGAGTCTTGCTCTGTCGCCCAGGCTGGAGTGCAGTGGTGTGATCTCGGCTCACTGCAACCTCTGCCTCCTGGGTTCAAGCAATTCTTCTGCCTCAGCCTCTTGAATAGCTGGGATTACAGGCGTGCACCACCACACCTGGCTAATTTTTGTATTTCTAGTAGAGATGGGGTTTCACTCTCTTGGCCAGGCTGGTCTTGAACTCCTGACCTCGTGATCCACCTGCCTCGGCCTCCTAAAGTGCTGGGATTACAGGCGTGAGCCACCATGCCTGGCCTGAAGGGATTATTTTTTAAGATAAGGAGGGCCGAGTGTCCTGCCCAGAGGAACAGTTTTTTTCTGAAAGATGAGTTATTCCCAGTCACTTGTTTTAGGGTTGTTCACATCATTCCAGAAGGCTCCTTGAAAGCTTTGAGAGGACACTGACTTGGGAATAGAGAGACTGAAATGTGGACAGAGCAAATTGAGAGATCCTCACTTTTATGTAGAATATTCTAGTCCCTAGGATGGGATATGAGGGATGTGTGCATGTAGGAAGAGACTTCTGCTTTCCTAACAGTGGACAAAGAGAAAAACAGAGATGGGGGTGCCAGGCCTTTCTCACTTGTTATAAAGAACAAGTGAAGAGTAAGAACAGATAAACCAGATTGGAAGCATACAGAGAACCCCGGTCAGCATCTCCAGGCCACCCCCATCTTACCTTGGGTTCCCCCAGAAGCAGCCCTAGAGGCAAGATTTTTGAAAGTAAGTGGCTTATCTGGGTGGTGATCCCAAGAAGTACCTGAGATGAGAAAGGAAGTAAGATAGAGAAAGGAAGGCAGCCTGTAAGAGGTGGGTTCTCAAGCCACCGACCATGTGGGTCATTGAGCAGGCCTAATTCCCCTGAGATTTACATCTAAACAATGTCTAGGTTAGCACATGCTTCAGAGTTGGCCCACCTTGGGGTCGAGGGAGCTGTGATATTTCCACACAATTGGTCAGGGGCTGCTTGACCTGTTGTACGGGTGGGCGGGGGAGGCTCCAGGGCCAGGGAAAGCAGTCAGGCAAAGCAATACTGATGCCGCAGGTGGAAGCCAGCTGATGTGCGACTGGCAGCAACAGATGCACTCAGAATGCAAAAGGGACAGCAGGTCAGTGTCAACAAGCTGTGACTTCTCCCAGATTGTGTGCTGTGATGAGAGGAGGTAAAGAGCCCAGATGCTAGGACCCAAAGGTAAGGTCAGGACCCCCAAACCTTTTACTAGCCCTGTGTAATGTGACAAGTCGGCACACATCTCTTAGCATGGTTTCCTCCAAGGTGGCTGTGAGATTAAAGAACATATTGCTGATGACATACCTAGCACAGTGCCTGATGTACAGTGATGACTCACTGACTGATAGACTTGTTATATCATCAGTAAATTGTTCTAGGAAGTGTTTGGGGAGGTAGGAAGAGGAAGCAAGCGGAGGGTGGGCAGTGGGGGTTGTAAGCCGCTTAGGGTTATATTAGTTACTTTAAAAATAACTACCTTGTTATTTTAGATCAAAGGCTTTTGAACGATGTATGCTAAGCTGTCCTACAGGAACTCTTCCATGGAAACTAATTAAACAATCTAGAATATGCGGTAATGAATGGTTTGCAAGTAAAGACATACATAAGGATGAATGGGAAAGGATTCTGAGTTAATGAGTTTTACAGATATTGGCCCCAATCAGTTCAAGGAAGGAGCTATTCCCAGAAGGGAAAGGGCTCATCTCTTAATGATGCCAGGATTCTTTTGGGCCAGGAAGGTGCAAATAAGTACACACAAATGGAACAAAGTCTGCACTGTGAAGATGGGTGCACTTTACTGATGAAGAGAGGTGTGCTGCTTTGCTAGCTTGTAGAATTAAGAAGCATGTGTGTGCGTGTGTGTGCACACACATACGTGATGTCGCAGCTGCTGTTCTGGGGCCATGGGCTTTGGTGTCACTGAGGTCTTTCACCAGAAGCCAAGTAGACTGCCTGGAGTAGTGATGCAATGTCAATTTAGAACATCTTAATGGCTGCATTTATGCAACCATTAGACTCAGTACTCATTTTCTCTGAAATTGAGGAAAGCATTGTCACATTGAAGAAGAGAAACTGAAAAAGTGAATCATTGGTCTAACAAATGGTTCAAACTCAATGACTTTCCCCTAAGGTCTGATAGGGTGGGCTGAGAAAGCGGCTTTGGTGTTGCTCCTCTGCGGGAGGCAGTAGTCTGTGTTCTAAATCGGGAGAGTGACTTGGTTGAGCACTCTCAACCCAGCACGTAAGGGCTCCCCCTGCATCCACCTCATCTCAGAATGACATATCTTCCTAGACCTCTCTCCTACAGTACAGTTAGCCTTTCCAAATCTTAGATGATGAGGGGAAAAAAAGTCTTTAGCTAGGCAGAACAGGTCATTTGTCTTTTGGCTCATTTTGTGTTTCTGCATAAATCCTCCATCAGCCTGTTCCTGCTCCCACTTGCCAGTGAGCAGTTTTTAATTATCAGGAAAATGGTGTTTAGTGCAATGAATCATCAGACAGTGAACAAGGAATTCAAGTCAGCTACAGAGTCGGGCACAGCCAAACATTTAGAGACAGGGCTCAGAAAACGTTCTCAGATTTGTGAGTGTTGGGGAAATATTATTAGTGGCGGTAATAATAATATCAGATGTAATATATCCCTATAACGTAAAGCATTTTATAGTAATCTGTACTATGCTTTATATTATCATTATTGCTAATATAAATATTGTTAACGTATTTATATTTTATAGTTTCCAATTATTTTCATCATAGGTTACATACCTGTGGCACAAAAATGTTATGTATGGATTAAACTGCTGATTATTAGTACCTCAAGAAAAATCTTTAATTTTGTGTTCTTTTAATTTATTAATTTCGATTAAAGATCTGATTTGCAGACATCTGTGTTCTTTGACCTAAAAATTCACTTATGCTATAGTTAAGATAAACTACAGCCTTAAAGGACCATAGTCTCAGGAGAATTACCAAATCTTAAACATGAACCAAGCCTTTAAATATATTAGGTTTGGGGAGAAATGATTTAGCCACTGTCCAGAACCTTGTTGCATGGAATGGAGTAGTTCTTGAAGCAGAAGAAACTTCTGACCATTGTCAAAGACCCGCATCAGTAGATGAGGATGCTCTCAAAAGTGAAAAGGCTGGGACATGTCTCTGGGGATGTCGCAGACATGTAGAGTGTATCTGAAAAGTGGGGGAGACCCTTTACAAGTGCCAGGGTCTCAGGGAAGAGCAGAAGAGGGCTGGAAAGAGCCATTTTAAACAGTAGGTGATATTTGGGGATTGAAAGCTGGAGGGAGAGGAGTGAATGCTTCTATCCAGGCCTCCTGTGCATTCAGGAAGTACAAAATCAATACCATAGACATCTTGGTGGAGACCACGAATACCCACATGGCTCCAGGGTTGCCAGGACAAACCTGGCACTTCCAAGCTGGTGGAGGATGCCTAGAATTCCACAGTATGGTTTCAGAGGTAGCGCATTAGGCTGTGTTTAGTCATTAATATTTTTGTGTCCCAGCAGGTTTGAACAGGCCCATGAGAAAG